CACAGTTCAGTTCAGGATATTAGCTAAAAGCCTACCTGCCATTTGGCTGGTTGGCGGGTTTTAAACGTAGAAAAGCCAAATGGCTGCTCTCTGGGACTTCCAGTGTATCGGTACCAAATAATGATTTGTTTTTTGGTATCCCAATCAGTTAACCTCCCTCTATATGTAGCTCTAGTTTTCATGTGTCGTTTCCCAGCTTGTCTTGTTCTCACCAGAGTTTTTCAGGCATTATTCTGTGTATCTTTTTTTATGGGTTGCAGATGAACAGTTCATTTTGCTTAGGAATGTAACGATATGGAAGTATTTGCATGACATTGAAAACAACAGCTGGTCAAATCTTCTACATTGTTAGGAAATACTCCCTTCAGTGCTTCCCTTGTTGCCTTCCTTATCACTCGACCATCTTTTATGGAAGGAAAAAAGATAATACTGTTCCACAATTCAAAGCACTTTTCATGAAAACTAAAAATCAACTTCACCAGCAAGTCATACAAATCATGTCAATTTTGTTAATAGTGGGGTTTCCGTTTTATGCTATTAATAGCTGATATATTTTGAACCTTCAGTGGCAGGTTAACTATGAACATTAAGCTTTTATTATAAAATCTACAAATTACAAACATTAAGCTTCAACAATAAAATCTGCTCCGTATAAAGTTGTTGCCTCATGTGAAAAAATATTCTTAAAAACAGGCTCTGTATAAATATGACCTATATTAAAATGTATGAATATTCAAAGTGAATATAAGGTTTAACATAATTCAGTTCACTAGTTATGTCTGCAGCGTTGCTGTATTAGTATGCTAATAGTCTTTGGGATTATTATTAATTAGTTTTAGTCTAATTATTACTCCCTTCCCAAAGCTCATGACCATAACTGAGTTCAGGGGTGTAGATTGATTGATAAATTGACAGTTTTGCTTTCATGCTAATCTCTCTTTACCAAAATAGACCAGCTCCAGTGCACACCCTATAACTGGAACATACCCTCTGTTCCCACTTCTTAAACATGGGAAACACAATCCCATGGATGTTGCAAAACCATTCCAATCCAATTCCAAGACAACCCAACAAAATCCAGGGCTTTAAAGAACTAAGGATGAATTTTATCTTCCCCAGGGCCTATGGAGTTGTTTAACTACCTCAATGTCCTCACCTCTAGTGATGGGCGCATCATCCCCTTCGACCCTAGGCTCTGCTTCTTCTATGTAAGGCGTGCCAGTGGGAGCTGTAGCTCAGGTGGTGGAGCAGATCACCTATTAATTATAAGGCTGGTGGTTCAATCCCAGTCTACATGCCAAATATCCTTGGGCAAGATACTAACCCTCCACAACCCAGTTGGGTCATTTGAGACAGCAACTTACCTCCCTAACTAACAAAAAATTAAGAAAACTGTAATTAAACAAAAAGGCAGTCCTACATGCTCCTGTGTAAAACAAACATCACTAGACGGGTAACAAAGTCTGCGGGTTGGGATGGGCCGAGGATGAATGGCTGGCCGTCCATGGCGGTGTCATCAAATACGTTGCCAGTCCGCAGGAACCGACATTAAGACAGTCGTAACAGGGCCTGTTTGACTATAGTCTTGATGTTTGTTTTTTTCATTATCCTTTTGCATAAAACATCTGACCTATTATTTATATATTTATTAGTATTATTAGTATTATTATCATTACTATTGTTCTGTTAACATAATGAATATCTTTAAAAAAAAACAAACACTATCAGCAGCATTTGTTTGTTATGATGACTGACACCTGTGTGTGTGTGTGTGTGTATGTATCTCAGTAATAAAGTCTTTTTTTAACTGCACTGTGTGGTAGTTTGGTTTGTTTTTGTTTGTTTCACTAGGGGTTATGTACTGAACTATTTATTAAAGGTCGTCTACAGAGCAAATAAGCATACAATGTCAAAGTACATTTGTAAAATGGATGCAGACTATAGAGCATAGCCTATTAAGTATTTTTCAGGAACCATGTGTGAGGTATTCATTAATTAGGACTAAGCAGCAACGTTTCTGGTTTGTTGTGTTTCTGTAATTACTTAGGATTTTATGCATACCTTCTTGTTAAGCATTGCCAATTATTTTTCCAGGAAATGTCAGAGTCTTGCAGAAAGTTAACAGCCCTTCCTCCTTGTTAGACATTTGAGCCAACTTTGTCTCAGATGTTGTTATAAAATATTGACAAGATGTCATGCAGCATTTTCACTGATGCTGAGTTATACTGTGCTTGTCATTCTGACTGGCCATGTAGAAATGATCTTGTGATTATGGTGCAATGTCAGGAAATAGAGTCTATTGTGTATTCTTGGAAGTCTTCTTTCTGCACTTTTCTCTATTTCCACTTTATTAAGTAATATTTGTATGGAAGAAGAAAACAATTTAAACACCTTAGCCAACTCATCGGCCTTCAAACTAATTAAGCCTATAAACAGCTAACTTAATTTTACTGTTTCCAGTTCGCCAACTTTTGGCTGAACCAGACAATTAAAATTGTGTAAATGTTAGGTGTCAGGTGTTACGACAAACTGCATGTAAGGATTTTACAAAGATAAAAAAAATTAAAAACTCTTCCTACTTTCTCATTCAGAATGACTTTTTTTACTACTTATAATTTACAATATCGTTTTGCACACTTCCACCCCAAAGTTTCCTCTTAATTTTAACATTATCTTAAAATTGAGGATATGATTAGAGATGTCGAAGTTAATGTGCATTGGCCTAGTTATCTATTTTGTGCACTGTGAGCCACTAATCTCTCAGTTTGCTGTCAAAAGATAAAAACAAACCAAAACATAATACTCTTGGATGGCTCAAAGCCACCATAATGTCACTTTATCTATTGGCATACAAATCCTGATTAGAGCTTAAGTGACGCCTAGAATGCGGCAACAATCCAATCTAGCCTTTGTTCTACGGAAAAACAAAACTTTTCAAAGTTACACCCCTGAAAATTGATTTTCTGTATGTATTTAAACAAAACCTGTCACAGTGCAAGTAGTCATTATTTGAAAAACCCTGGGCTGTTGTGTTCCAAGCCAAGGCCACAGCCAAGACACAAACTTAGGTCCAAAATGGTAGAAACAACAGCCCAAAGAAGCCAGTTATGTATGCCACACATCACATCTTGCATAATACAATGTCAACATTCATTATATAAAGTAAATTAGTCTATGCTGATGTTATTACATTCTTGTGTGCTTTTAATGTAGAGAAAACCGTTGCTGTGCTTAGAGCTTTGTTGACCTAGAACTTGGGTAGAATTTTTCACTTCTTAATGTGTCCTCTGAATCTACTCATGCCAACCAGAAAAACTCCACTACCCTATAAGAAGGGATTTATTGGCAAATGTATACCCAACGGCATCAACATCAAAAGTAGACCTGATTCTTAATTAAACTGATAGGACACAGCAACAGTGACACCTCTGCGGTGCTCTGCCTCAGTAAAACTGAACAGCCACTAAAGTTTCTTCTGAGTAATGATTAATGCATCCAATTTCTGTGATCTGTATTGAGCGTAGCATCATGGGTAATTAAATGATGGTCTACAGAGCACTGACTGCTCTCATAAAATGACAAGGCCATGATTATCATGAAGCTTGGTTACCCTCTGACTCAAATACTAATTGTGCATCAATAACCAAGCAGAATATGTCACCAAATTAAAACCTCAAACAACTCAAGCTGTACAAACAGTTCAAAGCTATAGCATTTCCATCAAGAAGATCAAAAATATGCATGACTTCACATACTTTATATTCACATATTTAGCAATTTCACAAGCATATTTGGTAAGATGCAAATTCAACAAATACAATCTGAGTTAAACATATTTACATGGTCAAAAATCAGAATTGCACAGAGTTGTCTAATGTAATAGATAGTGCTCCAACATGCTAGGAGGTATCTTTGTTGTAAGAGGTCCAGTCTGTCAGACAGACCAGAAAAACAGATATCAATGCCAGATTCAGGGGGCTTTCTGCCTCTTGAGACCAGATTTAGCTTGCTTTATAGACACCCCAAATGGATAAGTGCATGCTGTAGATCAGTCAAGATGGAGAAACAAGACAGAAAGTGCCCACATCAACAAGCCACAAGCAACGAGAAAGAGCCTCAACAATTCCACTATAACAGAGACCCAGATTTAAACGTTCACTTCTCCACCAGCATGGCATCAGTACTCAGCCTATTAATCCTAGGAACAGATCCACAATCACAGGGAGGGAAGAAAACTATTAATAGGTAGGAAACTATAACTGAGATACACTTCAGTGATAAAGCCAAGAAAATAGTTAATCAACCTTTTAAGACTAATAGGATGAAATTATTGTTGATATTATTGTATTTGCTTTACAGTTACAAAGCTCATCATCAAAAAGATTGATCTAGAATTAAAAACTATATGTTTAACAATTACTTATGAGACTGAGCAGACAGATGGTTAAGAGATCTGGGATTGATCTGAATTAAGTTAAGAGTTGGATTTAAAATTTGGACATGAATTGACCAAAATTGGGGAAACTTTCAGTCTGAGTATAGAACACATACTGTGGGCAAAAATATAACTTCTCCTAGTGAATATAATAACAAAGATGAAGAAGAGAGATGTGCTTTGATGAGGCAGTTATACTTCTTCATGACACATAAACTTGTATTGTTTTAAAAATGTCAGTGCAACCTCAAAAACAAACGTACAGTACTGAGAAGCACATATACAGTAGATATACATATATAGTTTACTTTGCTAACATTTATATCAAGCATGTTATTCTTATGATTCCCGTTCTCCTTGAAAATAAATAGAGCAATAAAAAAGATGCCCAGCCCAGTCTTGTTGACATTTTAGGAAGTCCTTCTGGAGCAGTAAAGTTGCCCATATGATGGATATTAGAGCTCTACAGACAGTGGGAAAACAAAATGAGAAATGCCTATGGTGGAGAACAGAAGGAGTGAATGGAGTGAAGGTGGATAAAATCCTGCAATAGCAGAATGCTGAAAAACACTAGTAGGAAAAAGAAAAACTAGTGACCTATGTAAACAGTCCATCAGTAAAAAAAACCCTTCAAAATATAGAGTAAAACAAGACGTGCTTAAAAAAGAGGCACAGGCAGCTATGATAATGGACACTAACCAAAGAACCAGATAAAGAAACCTTCAATAATCTTTACTAAATCTTTTGTTCTTTTCAGTACACTGGTTTGTAAAGAAGCTCTCCAGAGGCAAGTCTCCGTTTCAGCTCTTTCCAAAGCAGTTCCCTCTCCTTCTGGGCCCCCTTCATGAAGCCTCGGTTCTCCTGTGCTCTCCGAGACAGGTAGGGCATTACCTCATTCACTGGTCCATAGGGAACATACTTATAGACAGGGAAGCCTGCCTGGCCTGGAGTGAAACAAAAGAAAATGGGATTGATAAATGTAGACAAAAACTATTTCTCTCTGTATTTTTCAATATTATAAAATTCCTTTCCATAAAATATCATTTTGACTGACTAGTTTAAATGACAGGAGAGTATACTTTTTACAGATTATTTTGGACAAACTCTATAGAACCACAGCATGAGCATCATCTTGATTGGTTTCTCTCACTGAATGTTTGCTACGATCTGTGTAATCAGACAAGACTGCAGTATTTGCACTGACATCCTCAGTTTACAGCATTTCTATTTGAAGATTTCCTCTCGTCTGTCAGTTAGGCTCGCACACTGTGAAACTGCTTTGCCAGGGCTTAACTCTTTAGCTCTGTCGAAATAAATGTTGTTTTAACTAATCCATCCAAAACATTATAACATGATACAATAAACTCTGTCCTGACAAGCACATCCTGAGTAACAGCATATCTGAAAACGGAATTATAAAAACTAACTAAGGTACATTTGGTGCAGTAAGTGATGGACAAATAATATGGGTCTCAGCTCCAGTCTGCTTTATTTTATGAAACAACTTCTTTATCGTTTCAGGATTCAAAAGCAGTGCTGGCTGCTCCATCCCTCAAGAAAGCAACAAAGAAACACATGCCTGTCTGTTTACATCAATACTGGTCAAGGCCATGTCAGCTTCAGCCTCACATTGACAGACAACTGCCTGCCGCCACTATGTCTAGCTTTGACTGACAAACAAAGCACTGAGATCCAGAAGAGGCACTTCGTTAAGAGGACTGTTCAATACTGAGGTGTCTCGGCTCATATGTCATGCAGACTGGCTTCTACATGTGCACTCCTTGGGGCCTGTGAGGTACGTGTGAGCAACTTAAAGGTCTTATGAAAGAGTTGAAAGCATCACAGGGTGTATGGCCTGTCTGGCTGGCACTGTCAAAATTATTCTTACTATTTATGACAAGACAGACTGGTACCTAGACATTGCATGGTTGTGAATTTCTGCTTCTGTACTTTTCTTACCCAGTGGGAAGCTGATTTGATCACACATGCCCAGTAGCTGACCAAAGTATACCTTGTTTTCTGTGGGAATGAGACCCAGCTCATTCATTCTGATTGAGAGAGGATAAAAATATAAGCATGTTTATACAGATGCAATTTTGTATGAAAGAATAATAGTTTCAAGTTACTGGATACAGCATAATATTTGCCTTTTTAAGGTGTGTTTCACCGTGTCTTCATTGTGGGAAGCCACCATTACATTTGCTTTTCTGTTGAGTGCAATCTCATCCAACACATAGTCCAAACACCTTGCACAAATACATGACACACAACAGGGACAATTTAGGTAGTCATAATAATGGGTTTGTTTGTCTTTCAAGTAGGAATTAGTAACTTCTTTTATATTGTTCACTATAAAATATGCATTTTTATTATATTGTGCTTACACTGTTTCATGGCACATTGAAATAAATCAATTTCATCAGCAGATCACATTTATTGTACTACTTTTACAAACCTATACTCCATAAAAAATCTCTATATACATCAAGTATTCACAGTATGTAAACAGAAATCTGGCCCTGTTCATTTGTTTCTCTGTTAGTAAGGCTATATTAATACACATATTCATAACCACCATCTGCATGTTCTGAATCCACCTCATGTTATACTGTATCCAATTAAGCATCCTGAGTTTTTTCTTCATTGATTACATTATTCCATCAAAATCTTCTCAAACTCTTGAGACGAAAGCTTGTTGCCATAAGAACAAGACTGCAGTAACTCCAAATAAAAGACTCTGTCCTCTGTGGTGTTAACCGGTGCCTAAAAGGCTGACCATTTAATTCTGTTATTTAAAAAAAAAACTACAGTAAGCAGACTGTTCCTCTCTGAATATGAAAAATGAGAGCTTGGCAAACAGCAATCAAACTCTACATGTGTAGATTTATGCAGAACAAACAGACCAACAAGCCTTAGCTCTTACCTGTGGTACATCCTATTGGTTGACTCATAGTCAGGGTTAATAGGGTCTTCATATCCGATCTCTTTGGCCCTTTCTCGCTCCTGATACATGTAGGCCCCACGCACCAGCTTGGCAGCAAAGTGCCAACCCTCACGTCGAGACAATTCTACATCCATAGTTACATTGTCATAGGCCTCCTGCAGAACAAAAAGGAGGAGCACCGATTCATGAAAATCAAGTCCTCTAAGTTTACGTACCAGTTTTAAAACATGTTTTATATACAGAGCTGACTGCATTTCCATGTTTATTACAAGTAGAAATGTGCAATGATATACCTGCTTTATTTTTACAGAAGGATTAGTCGACTTAATCTGGGTTACCTGTCCTATCTACCTTTACATAATAAATACAATGACATGTGTAAAAAAACAAAAAAAGAACTATGGAAGACAAACTCTGTAAAACAAAACAACTGTCCAATGTGTATAGCACCACAGCATATCAGCACAATGGCAGGGCCAAGGGTGATGATTTGGGCTTGGTTTGCAGCCACAGGAACCGGACACCTTGTATTCTACGTATGCCGAAGGATTTTAGATATGAGCTCATTAGTTAGCTTGGATCCAAAGGACAAAAGAAAATATTTTATAAGAATCAAGGTATTCACCTCTCAATCAACTCGAGACCTGTGCATAAACAAATGCCCACAAGTGAACCAAAGCAACAACCGCATAGTGAAATGTTTAAAAATTCCTCCAAATGATGTGAGAGACTGCAGAAGTCATACAGAAAATAATGACTTCAAGTTTTTCCTGTAGGCGGTTCTATAAACTATTGAACTATGAGGAGTATTTGGTTTTTCACAGGATTGCACATAGCTCTGTGAAAATGTTCTTTTTCATGACTGTAAATGCCAGCAACATAAAAAATAAAACACTCACAATAAACCTTGTAGTTATGTTGTAACCAACAGATAATATTCTAAAAGTACAACTATTATGAACCTATGCACTTTTGATATCATAATGATAATAATAATGCTGAGAAAAACACAAAAAAAATAAATCACCATATTTCCACCACTATTGTTTTCTCGTCTTTGTCGCGTCACTCTTTCGAGCCCAGCTTGGCTGACTAATAGAAATCTGTTTACATGCTGGCATTTGGACCTGTCACAGCATGTTTTCTGCGATAAAAATTACAACGGCTGTGTCACTGGATCTCATTAATAAAGAGAGGAATCTCCATCTGTTTTGGTTTTATTTGTTTGGGGCTTTTTAGCTATTTTCAACAACTGTTCATTGGATCTATTTCAAACACACTGAATATATTACTAACCTAAAGAAGCACATTGTCAAAACTTGGGGTTTCTTTGTGAGCTGAGAACATGGATTTAATCACTCAGTGACAATAACAATCCTCCCATTCACCACAGAAACATTTTGCATAAGCAAGGCACTAGTAGAAGTTTGCAGCTTTGAAGATCTGTTTTTGTGTAGGCCCCGACCTTTAGGTAGCATTGATAGGTGTTGAAAATGACAGGCTTTTCTCCGTTGTAGGTCCTCTGCATCTCCAGCGTTAGTCTGCTAATGGCTGGCTGGAAATAGGTTTGCTCTGCATCCACCATCAAACGAACACCACTCTCTAGGGCATGCTGAAACATGAAAGATCTCATTAATTTGGTGTAATATCATCTAATATCCTAGAGTTTCATTAAAATAGTTTTCAAGGTTAAATTAATGAACATTTTTTTATTAAATAAATGAAACAAAAGAATCAGTGATTCTTAACACGGTGACATTAAAACACAGTAATAATAATAATCCTCGTAATTTTTTTAAATTATTATTATAATTATACCAGTGCAGCTTTTATAGATTATAGTAGCTATATAGTTATGGAAATTATATCGTATTTACAAGATTTACAAATCTCATTTAACCGATACACATAAAAACATCTTACTAATCGCATATAGTTGATCTATAGGTGTTTATTCATAGTAGTTTAACAGCAAATTGCCCCTAAGTGTGGGCATGTTCATGTATGGTAATCAGTCCTTGTGGCTGGTATGTAATTACCTTCGCCAAGACATCTACACGCTGTAACATCCGCTTCATTTGTTGCTCCTCCTCTACAGTGAACTTCCCCAGCAGAGGCTCCAGCTTACCTAGCTATGAAAACAACCCAGGAGAGAATCCACTGTGAGATACTAATAAACCAAATATCACACAGCATGACACCTATTAGTCTTCCCACCTTATCCAACCATGAGCTGGCCTGATTTCAAAACCACAGATGTATGCAGTCTTCTTAACCCAGGGCTAAGTAATTCACCCTAGAAATTCCAATGAATGATGCAGAAAATCTGCAGTTAAAGGTTGCAGACTTTTAAGTAAATAAAACTCCAAATGGCTGTTTACTATTTGTGTAATTGAGTTGATTGTGGTCAAGGTCTGGTTATAGTAAAATAACTTGAGATAAGAACATTTAAACTGCAAAAAGCCCTTCATTTTCACTATAGCAGCCAGAGAGCAAATGACCATTTAGTAATGAAATCCTTATTTTAAATGTCATCACAATTAATTACTAGTTTTGCTTCAGTTTTTCCAGTTGCTTCTGAAATGAACATATTACAACAGGGGACAAAAATAACTGGATCAATAACAACAATCTATGGCAGCTACAGTACATTTGAATGACGTGCTTAGAAGTCAGAATTAGCTCAGCAGGTGCAGCTGACACTTAAAACTCTCCTGCCTGCTACAACCTGAAAGCATGCCAAACTTGGAGCAGTATTATCTAAGTCAACTGTAGTCTCCAAGGAGTAATGGTAGAAATATATTTTTAAAGTGTTTTTTTTAATTTTGAAAACTGTTTTCTTTAATCTATTGTATCCCAACAAAAAAAAATCTCTCTCTTTTTCAGGGTTCTATGCTACTGACCTCTACATTTGGAACAACAAGCAGATCCGATATCTTTGTTCTGTCATCTATTAGGCTGTTCCAGTCAAGCATGTCAATGCATCTGTCAGAAAAAAGGATGGAAAGTATTACAGGAACAGGGTTTTGGTGAAACTATTACCAGTATCTTTTTGTTACCAGAATCTTTTTTGTTTTTTTGTTTTGTTTTTTTGTCTTACTGGCCACTTTGTGGATAATTATATTTTTAAAGATTAAGTGAAATACATATTTACAGCTACCCCCTTTTTATTAATAATCATTACTTTTATTACTTGCCGAATTTTGTCAGGTTAGCAGAAAGGAAAGTGATGATTATTTCTTCCATTTTTTAGAAGCAGTAACATATATTAATTATATGTATTTTATAGTATTGAACATTGTATAAAATAAATTATCAAATGCATGAACTGAGAATATCCTCTTTAGTTTAATTTACTTTATGAAATTAGTATTAGTTTAGAATTTCCATACCATTTTTTTCATGAATTACTTCTTCTGCAAAACTGCTTCACAACTAATGAAATATTTCTCTGTGTGCAACACGTCTTTTATAACTATTTGAGAAGTCCTCGCTTACCCTGTTGAGTCCTCTTTCCTTCCTGTAAACCAGCCATAGAAGTCACCATTTGCACCCAGTTTGGTCATGAACTCCTATGAGAATACAGAGATTTAAAGTTCTGCACAACACACACTAACAACATGTCTTGCATTATCCCAGTTGTGCATTTATGGAAATGTAAAACCTGACATGTTTAGCACATATTACACAAGTATCACCATAACTCATCAATGCGAAAAACATGGAAAAAGAAAAATTATTACCTGCAGTTGTGTAAGCTCCAGCCTCTGCTCTAAGGCCTCCAAGCCATCTTTACCCTGCTGTGACGCTAGGAAGGTGAAAAACCGCCGCCATTTCACCAGCACCTCTGAGAACTGGAGCTTTTGTAGAGAAAAAAGTAGTGTCATTCAGCAAGACTAAAAGCTTACACTGACTTTTTCATCGCTCTTTAGTGCCTACCAGAAACTGAGGTCGTCCTAGTGCAGTCATTTTGATGGCAGAAAAACCATCCATTGAACTCCCACCTACAAGCGGCAAATAACATTAAAATAAATGAAATGATAAAAAGCTAAAGATCACAGTGTGATGGTACGATAGAATGATGTCTGGTGTCATAGACTACAACTTCAATGCAAACACAGACAAGTGTGGCTTCTCCTGTGTTTGCCTACCAGACGCTTTGATGCATTTGATAAAGGTTTCCATATGTTGGTCGCATTTGGCCTCGTCAGCATAGAAATATGTGCGTGCTCCGGTCACTCCCCCACGGCGGTCGCCGAATTGTTTGTGCGCTTGATATTTTCTCTCTCTGTGGTCCTTGCCTGTGAGTGAAAAACACATTTGCATATCATTACTTTTGATTACATCTCACAGTACAGTTTGTCCACAAATGAGGGGAAAAAATAAGGCAGCTTACCTATGTTCTCTTTCTCTGCAGCAGACACGCATGAGCTAAAACAGAAGTTATATGAAAGGATAAAAGATCATGGTCATCATGAATTTAGGCAACTTCAAAAATGTGAAAACTTGCACTTTTTTCTGTGAACATTGTGGTCTTGTGGCAGTGGCATGCTCGAGGCTGCAATTGTGTTTACTTATGCTTTGCTGAATTGCTGCTGCTCACCCTCTGCAGAGGGGAGTTGCAGCATCACTCCACACTTGACCTATTCCCCCCTCATCATAAGGCACAGGGGAGCTCATGTAACCAAACAGATGACTAAACAGTAAGCATCCTGGACATCAGAGACATCAAGAGGCTTCAAAGCCAGGAAAACTAAAGGGAGCCATATTCTTTTAACTTTGCTAAAAAGAGTGCCTGTCAAAAGCAAGCAAAATCTACAATGGAGTCCATCTGACATGGTCTAAAAGTGTACTATTTTAAATGTTGTTTTTTTCTTTTGTCCATCCCTTGCTTGATAGTGTTTTATATACAATCTGCTTATTCTTAAAAATAAGAGAGACATTTACTATTTCCTAGACATTTTTTTGGTATCGTTTAGATACTATTGATTGATTTTCAGCCCTAAAAAATAAGACGCCAAATCTCAGAAAATTAAATTGAATTAAACAGCTTCAGTGGACAGTGTCGGTGTCAAATAACATTTGTGTTACGCTCTCTGTGTCACATTTGGGATATATTTTATCGCCAGCACAAAACACTGGCACCCAGCTGCTTTAAAAAGCATGCAAGCCTTCAAAAGCGTGCATTTGTCAAATCTAAAGTGTAAAACTGAGAATGTATTTTTAGTATAGATGGTCTACACATCTAAAGGCTGTCACTGTAAATATCATGCGTTCAACATCAAGCCAGGATTTGCTTCTGTTCCTTATACAGTATCTTCCTTCTTTTGGAAGAAACTGACTAATGTTGTTGCTATCTTGACATATGACTGGAGAGCTTGTCAAACCTGCTGTCTCAGATCAAGCTGGCTTAATGTGCCTTGTCCTACAGTCTCAATGTTTGAAGGTGTATGTTTGGCAAACAATATCTTTCTAGGCTCAGATTTGATACCTCGCTTGATGTTTCTAAGCAGGCATCCCCCAACACAAAGGATATCAAAGCTGTGCCGTGACATCTTGTTACTAGTGATGAGGTCTAAAAAATATATGCAGTTAAAATAAAAGGGAGTTTATAGCAAAGAGCTTACCTAGAAGTTGTATCACTTTACAGAATGTGATAGGATGACAAAAAATTATGTCTGGCTCAAGATGTTATCACTGTCAGCTGTCACTCTATGTCAACAGACTTAACCATAAGATACCTGACTAGAGGTAGCCCCATTTAGTCATCACATCTGAGCTTTATAAAACTAGAGATATTCTGAGAGTTAGAAAAGGTCAGCCTATTTTCCTCAATATTAACTTTTTTCCTAAGTATATCTGACAAGTACATTTGTCATTTTTACTTGAAAGAAAAAAGAATCAAAATATTCCCTTTTCTCTACTGATTTGTCTCTGGAACATCTCCAAAGGGGACCAAAATGGCACTCATGAATTACTCATAATGCATGAATGCCCAAAGCTGAAACTAAAGTAAAAGTCCTGCTATTGCCCACAGAGATACTGCTTGCATAAGGTTTGCACTGTTGTCCAAGTTTACATCATCTCACACATCACTTAGGAATCCCGTCACATGGGCTGCGCGAGGCAATACCTAGCAAGTGAGAAATTCTCTTCAGCCAGCCAATTCCACACTAGAAAGCCACAAGTATGCCAACAATTCATGGTGTAATGAAGATCGACCGCCTGGCTGCAATGAAAACACATCTATATTTGGTATTAAACTACAAGAAAATGCAAAAAATGTGCTTTTGCTTTATGTTGTTTTGTTTTTTTAATCTGTAATATGTGTAATACAGACAAGCATAGCCTGAATTCAATGTGTCTTTGACAGTAATTGCATGCAATTTTGGGACTGAACCAACTGTGAAATTCGAGGTCAATACTGATATGTTTAAAAAAAAAAAACAGTATAGATGATTTTTTTTTTTTGTATTCCCCATTTTGTGCAACTGGGGAAAAAGATCATTATCAAGAAATACATGTTTTGAGTTATTTGCTCCTTCACCACATTATAGCTGTTCTCACAAATGAATTCCAGGTTAAGTTAAGTCAGGGCACTGTCCACAATTGCCCTGCATCCTGTACAGCATAACAGGAGATAATACCAATCAGAAGTGTTCATAAAACTGAAATTACTCACTTTGGTTTAGGTGAGAGCTGCTGCATGGGTAAGCAATTATCTGTTCTATTCTCAGATGGGTGCATTAGACATTACACCGACATTTTACCAGGGCGCTGGCAGGGTAAAAACTGTTAAATGTGCAATTCAGCTGCGTCAACCACTTGTTTTCTCACATACAGCTCCACTGGGTCGTTTCGATAAACGTTCAGGGCTGCAGTACAGGTGTGAAAACAAACAAATTAGGGACAAGGGATCCAAGAAATCAAGACTAGAATATTATTAGGACACAGCAAATAGCCACTGCAATAGTTGAAGGTCATTTAAAATTAATAAGCTGATGGCAGTCGGCAAAGCAAATACTGCCTAATATATTGGTACATCGCTGTGTAATACCTTTGACCTTATCCAACCAGATGTTGGGTGAGGTGTGGGGGGGCTGGAACCTATTCCAGCTGACACTGCGCAGGAAGCAAAGAACAGTCTGGACAGGGCACCAGTCTATTACCCATGCTAACACATTCCAAACCTTCAACCAATTTAGAATTACACATTCATCTCTGGTGCATGTCCTTGGACAGTGGAAAAAAAAAACCTGAGCCCAAAGATGTGCCCATTAGGCAACAAGCATGTCAAAACCCAAAACCTTCCTTCTGTGAGGGAACAATGGTTATCACTGTAACGGGATTGAGTCTATTGTATTATTAAGTAAAGCAATAGAATTTTCATACTCCATTTCTTTCTGCTCCGCTTCCTCCTGACTGATGTCTTCCTCAACACTATAGTCCAGGACAGAGCCAATGCCGAAGGAGTGGTTCTTCTGAATCAGTGGCTTGATGTCATTGTGGTCCTCACCAGCCACAAACTGACCATAAAATGTCATCTTCATGAACTGGTCAAAGGTTTTCTGGCCTAGAATCTTCTTAGCTAGATCCATTACCTGGGCAAAAAGGGAAGGACATTACATACATTACATTTCTGATTAGTAATTCTAATATGTTTTGGGCTTTCATCATGTCTTTTACATTGTCCCCATTGATTAAGTAAATATGTCATAAGTGTGCCATGCTGGATGTGTTTTAATGCACTCTACTTCCATGTATATAACACATTTGCTTAAAAGTCTTAGATGAATGGAAAATGCCCTGATAGATTTATACAGCAGCCTGTATGCTAACAGTACACTACAATAACAGGACAGCTGAGGTTATGTAACATGGACTGGATAGTTGAAAAACAGGTTGTAACTTGAGAGGTGTGCATTGCATTTAAGGGTGGAGCGGAAACTGTTAGGCCTGTCTACATTACTTTACATACAGCCTATGGTTCAGATTTGATCAGCTAACAGAACTTTTGTTTACATTCAACGCTACTTATGGCTGACATAAATGGGAATATTCCCATATTGTTTGAAAGGAAATTGTCAACATCACTGTCAATGCTATATCTATTAGTAAAAAATAACATAGTAGCAATTATATATAATATTAATAATAAGTATATAATATAATATTATGTCCAGTGACTTGCTTACACCTGTTTTCTTTGATTGTGACATCTCATTTGCTTGTTATGCGAACGTTTCACATAGAATTCAGTATTTATGCTTAACTTTATTTTTAAAAAAAAACTGTAATTAGGAAGTTATCTGAACACCTAAAGGCACATTAACAAACATACTTCGTGTTAAATTGCCGGGCTGTGCGGTGAGATAGCGCCTCATTACCTCTTTGTTCTTATCAACCAGGAAGTCATATGAACAAAGTTTGAAAACCACCAAACTTCTGAGCAGCTCTAATGAGTCTTTGCTCTTGTAAGCCTCCCGGGTCTGCTCAAAGTCTACGGAGATCTCATTAGCAGCAGCGGCGGCGGTGCCTTCTCTCCTTCTCCCTCCTCTCCCAGACAGTCCGGGACACTCTGACCCGCCGCGGCTTCTGACACCGTCAGGCTCCGTCTGGGCCGTCGAACTGGAGGTCACGGTGCAACGTACTGCTCGGTTTAAGACTAACCGTTTAAAGTGGATGTCCGCCCTCGCCCGTTTGAGGGCTAGCACGGTTTTGACGTAAAACATCAGCGGATAGCTGGCCCAGGTATCAGCGCTGAGGTGAAGCTAGCACACCAATAGTGTTTGCTAGCTGCGCGTGCCCCACCGTAAACAAACTCGGGCCAAAACGGGCACATTTTTATCACTTGGTTGGTGGATAGAGACGGTGACGCACTCACGGCTTCCTTCCCGAAGATTCCCGCATCTCTCTACCAGCGCGTTTTTTTTTTCTTTTTTTTTGTGAGCACGTTGCGTCGTTGTGGGTATTTTTTAATTAGCAATGCTGTCAACTTCCGCAGAAAACACGAATTACCATGACGTGTAGAGGTACAAAAAAAATGCTTGTTTTACATTCCACTTCACATTAGGCATTTTCCTAATAAATATCTTGTTCACTGTGTTAAACTCATGGATTAAATGGCAATTTCTTAGGATATAACTTAAAACATTAAAATAAGCTATATTGGTATTTCTTCAGCTTCTGTAGTTGAATTTGCCATCACTTTGGTATAGCTACATATATCGCTTCGGCCTCCTTCCTCTGCTTGTTCTCAACTACTACGTCCGGTATCTGGAAGTCCTACAGGTCATTCTTATCCAACCTTGGGGGCGTATCCCATTTTGACCTCGGGACTTTCAAGGCCATACACTGCGCAGATGTACTATGCCAGCCACTTGGTTATGTAGTTGCATGTATGCACTGTCTGCTAGCATCGTGCAACAACACCGTCTGCATACATAGATAAATAGTACCCATATGTTATTATCCAAATTATATTAAAAATATTATGCTTTATTATGAAATGGGCACATTGCATGATCATGATCATGTCAGACCTTTACTCAAGTTTTCTTGGATAAAACTTTGTTTTATCACCTGTAAATTAGTAACAATTTGGGCGTTTCCATCATTTCAGCAGTGGTTGTTTTCCATTTTTCGACGAAGCAATATGTTGTAAATGTGTAGGACACAACTTAGTAAAAATTATGTTCACAGAAGACACTGCTATATAGACAAGAATGTGAAATGCGTATAGTGCTGCAGTTTGTTCAAATGAATTCATGGATACAAAATCACTCATACAAAAGTGATATGTTCAACTTACGTGCGACGCACTTAGAGGATTTAATGCAGGGTACTGTCTATCAGCATCACTACGTTCATGTTGACAGATGGGGGAGCTATTGTCTCAGTTGTGGGTAATACACTGCTGCCCCCTGAAGCCGCCACACAAAGGCTCACACAATAATTAAAAAAATAAAAAAATAAAATAAACTACTTTAAAATACGGTTTGGTTAAAATGCGTAGTCTTCTATAAATTATATTTATAAATCTGATAAGTCAACGTCTAAGATGATCTATGTACATAACTTTTGTTAATAAATATAATATTTCCACTAAATGTCATCAATATAGGTAATTACCTCTACTGTTTGTTAAAATCTAAGAACGGAGCACAATATTTTTTTTCTTTATTTCTTTTTAACCCTTCTCCTTCAATCAGACCCTGTTGCGCACAGGCTTATGTAAATTTGGTGGCTCACGCATGGCGCACTGAGCCAAAGATAGAGTAACAAATCAGGAATTTCCCTTCTGCCACTCCTGAGAGCGCAAGAGAGGACCAAAGTTAAGGATTAAGCGCGTCTCCTTCGAGAGGAACAAAAGCGACATAGTGACACTCTGCTTTATTTTAATTTTAGTTTTTGTAAAGATTATCAACAGTCTACACATTCCCAGAAGCTCCAAGGACACATTTTGGCAAGAGAAAAAAATATTTGATTCATTTTGAGTCTGGAGGCATGTGGCTTATGACCTCTTTCAAGGAATAAGTAACACAACAGGAGAAAAGACGTTCACTAAGACTACTGCGATTGCAACTTTGGCTTTATGACTTTTTCTCCTTTGCGGTTGGAGCTGCCGTCGCTGGTCAGTTTTGGAAAGTTTCTCGATGGCGTAGGTGGTGGCGAGACTTTTTAAAACACCTTAAGGATTTATTAGCCTATTTTAAAGGGATGCGCTTTCGTTTTATGTGCATTAAAGAAACTGGAGTGTGCAAAGAACACTGAAACCCAGCCGTCGTAACTTTTGGATGAGGGTAATGCGGCGTAAATACGGCGTCTAGAAGGATGCTGCTGCTTGTACAATGGAAGTAAAGAACTCTTTTACTTTTCTTGCGTTGGTTTGTCTTTTCTTTTGCTCCGGTTTCAGCCAAGAACTCAACCCCAAAGGCAGGAATGTGTGCAAAGTACCCGGGTAAGCATGCAGGGGGAAAATGGGAGCTATTCGATTTGTTGTTACTGCAAACCAGCCTGTACAATAAGATTTGCAATAAGATGACATTTTTTGCTTCTTATTCTCCATTTTCGGGGGGATGGGAACTTCTTTCAAAAAAGTTCCGCTAGAGTTGGGAAATAAGTAGTTATTCAAAGTATTTTTTTATTTCTTGTTTTGTGGAAAAATGCGTAACTTTATACATTTGACGTTTCCATTGGTGGCCTTGTGCGTAAATAGTGGTCCTCCAAAGTCGCGAATATTTTGTGAAGCCATCCGCCGTCTTTAGTATTTAAAAGATACGTATTTTAGGTCAGGAGATCTTAGAAACACTTTGTTTTTTATGCATTATGTCACGTCGACCCACTACCCCCTCTCCCTTACATATAACGCGCTCCCTGTTCAGTGTAGCCATAGCAAGATAGCAAGAGGAGGAGTCCACTGAAGAAAAGCATAGCTATACAGATGTGTGTGCTACATCTGGAACCGAAATGTTTTTGTTGCTCTGAAGAGGGCGCTCTCACAGACCCTTACAGCACTCGTGGCACTATTTAATAGTGTGGTTGATAATGCACTTTTAAGAACCAGATTTTGGAAGAGTTAAAGAAACGCAAAACTGATAGGATTTAGGTTAAAATCCTGTCATAAAAGCAAAAGTAAGTGATCCTAAAGGCATTTTTTGGTGATCTCCTGAGCCTTTCAGTAACTTGTGTAAAAGAAAAACATCCAAGCCCATAATTGCTGACTGCAGTATCCAAGCTCGAACTGATGTTTTGAATTGTGTAAATTGTGGTAGGCCAGAAACAGCAAATGTAATCCAGGGATCATTTTCCAGTATGTTCTAAACAATGTGTGATAAGTAACCATGTACTTGTAGCTGATTACTTTAGGATGGATGAGCTTAAAAGTTATCACTTATTTTTTTTATGTTGAAAATGTTATCGGACCAAAAATAGCTTATTTGAAGAAAGAGAGCGAGAGAGGGGGGAAGATAGCTTATCTGAAAAGCCACACACTGTATTTTCCTGTGCACTCAGAAAGAAAGTCACCAGCAGCTGCTCTTCAAAAGCTAAAGTTGTGCTGTCATCTTGCCTCACTGGGCAAAACGTTGTCATTTGCCAGAAAGGAAATTCTGGCCTAGAGTATTTTTATGCTCTATGAAGTTTTCAGCATGCTGTACATGACCTCTATTGCTCTACAAGGTTGATATTTTGCCCCTCTTTGCACTTTTCAACATTCATGACACTGAACTCACCATTAAATTGTCCCCCACACACACACACACACACACACACACTATTCATTTATTGTTCTACTTTTATAGCCCTGAATCATATGAATAGAGGGAAGTAGTTCATTATTTATCACAACTAGTCAGCATTTCCAATATGACTCCTCATAGTGGAAAATCAACTGCTGAATCTGGCTTTAATTGCAATACATCCTAAAATCATTTGCCGGTGCCCTCAATAGTCATTTTTTTTCTAGCTTCAAGTGTTCCTAACAGTGTTTTGAAAATGCAAAAGGTTGCTGGCTTTGTGGTGTTTTCAGCACTAATGCAGAAATCTTCTTTTCAAATCAGTGAAAAAGCAGCAATTGAGGTAGTCTGTGAAAGCAGTACGTGCATTCTTTCTGTGGTAATGAAAGGCACACCGCATGTAAAGACCAAATTAATTCCACTAAACAGTGAAGGTAATTTCTCCTTCTGCATTCTGGCATGGATTGGATTAATGTTAATGGTTAACAAAGGGTCAATTATAAAGGGTTGATTACAGTTTGTCCAAATTTGGTGTGGCACACTTGAAAAAAACAAAACACAAAACAAACAAACAAAAAAAATCTAAACAAAACTGTATGAAAAAGGAAAAAAAGATATTCTTTGGAAAATTTCCTTTCATACAAGTCAAGTAATTCAGAGGTTTGACCAATGATCTTGAACACGTGCCGGTTTTGGCAGGATAATAGGATTGTGCTACTCCCTTCCCATCAACTGAACACAAACTGCCATCTTCAAACAATTTAGGGCAAGCTGACGTGTTGCAGGGGCCCCACAGAGGTCACCGGCATGGGAGGAAGAGGACATGCAGCCGTTCTTTCCTGTTAGGCCCAATACTTGTCTGCAAAACTTTGCCTCTGAATATTCACACTGCATCACAGGCTGGGGGAGGCAGAAAAGCCTGTAGAGCTTCCAGAGCTAGTAGCTTTTGAGTGTATGTGTCTCGTAGAAATTGGAATGAACCATATTGAGGTAATTATACAACAATGTGCTAAGCATATGTGTAATGCATGGTGCCATGCTTGCATTTGTGGAATTTGGCAACAGCTGCATCAGTAAGAAGCACAAAGCCAAAGAAGCAGGAACTTTGTGTGAATGTTGTCACTTGATATATTTGTTTTACTTTATTTTAATCAAGTGCTTCATCTTTCCCCCCTTTCATTCTGAACCCCCCCCCCCCCCCCCCTCCCCAGATCATCAACACCAGTGTGCTGCAGTGGATGGGGGCAGCTAGGAACTGAATGTCTGACACGTATGTACCACACTTACAGCTAACATTTGGCAGTATGTCATATGGCTCATTGTGCACACCAACAGAATAATATGGCCTATACTTTTCACCTCAGCCCTCTGTGAAGGCAACTTCACCTGCAAGGACAATGAGGTGTGTGTCAGGCCAAACGAATGCCGCTGTCGTCATGGATACTTTGGAGCTAGCTGTAACACCAGTAAGAATTTTTTTTCTCACTTTATTTTTCATTTTGTGTCATTCCTGGTATTAAGCAAATACATTTTACATGTTAAATATAAATGTTCCAGTATAGTACCCTCGGCAGTCAGTTTTTCAACATATTGCTTATTGACACAACAAATATCTTAAAAAGTTGGCAAAGGCTAGTCCAAAAAAACAGGTATTCAGAATTCATGTACCTTCAAGATTCTGGATGATGACCAAATGACCAAATACATGTATAATAAATGGCATTCTTTATGCATCAGCTAGTTCTTATATTTCTCTCAAATTA